GATGGATGGATTATATTAGAGTTCTAAGACACTGCAGTATGAAACAATGACTCCACAAACTAAACCATGACTCAGCACATATGTCTTTAATAGAATAACAAACTTGTGGCGTTTTACTAAATATGAGACAAAGACTTTGCAGCACATTTTGAATTAAATACCATCCTACGATGTTTTTTTGACGACATGCTAGCCTATGACGTACATGTTCATCATGTCTTTGTGTATTTCATGCTCGTAACTCTTCCACAGTGTCTTTGTTTCCTCAGAATCCCAGCAGGCGGCTCAGAGGGAAGCTTTCAGGTCCTGCTGAGGTGATGCCTTCTCCTTCTCCAGAGAACTTTGCTCTCTGGGAATAAGACCACAGCGTTCCTGACACTGTGGGAAGCTACCGAAGCTTAACCCAACACACCTGTGTGTAACTGACCAATGGAAAACAAGTCCTGAATTCTCTGTTTCTGTATAAAACCTTTAAACTGTTTTTCTGTTGACAATCTGGAGGAATGTTAGAGTCACCATGTTGTACTCAATAAAAAGTTATTAACTCCAAACAGAATGTTTCTTGTATTATACTTTCTGGAACACAAACTAAACTATGACGTTTTTATAACGTTTTTGACGACATACTAAACTATGACGTTTTAAAGAATTTTTTTAACATTAACAGAAACGAAACCTCAAAGTCTGTAAAAACAAATGTGTGAGAAACACATTTAGTTCATGACTAAGTGACAAGGGTCCTTTAAAATACATGACGTCATCATGTGTTAGAGTTGAACACAGAGATTATAAAAGTGAAGATGCTTCACTCAGATGAATAAAATGTTTCGTTAAAGTCACATCAGCGCTGACAGAAGATATGAAGCTCTGTTGCTGTTTACACATTTAGCATGTTGCAACACGAGCTAGCATGAAGCTAACATGAAGCTAACATGGAGCTAACATCAGCTCCCAGTTGTTGTTGTTTATCTTCAAGATGAAAGCTGTCAAATGTTATATATGTTGTATATTCATTCAGTTTTGTCAACTTTATGGATGAATGAAGTTTAAAAGACTGTAAGTTAGTCTATTAGCGCCTCATTAGCTGAGTCACAGGAATCTGGAAAAACAACCAAACCCCTGACTTGTGTCCTGTGAACCTCAGCAGGACTCCAACAGCTCCACCTGCAGTGATGCATCTCTCTCATACACGATCTTCGTTCTGGAAACATGGCGTCTGAAGAGGCTCTGGCCGCTCTGGTAGGAATCTAACTACAAACCTTCGTGTTTTCAGCCCCAGTGGGTCGGAATCTGACCCCAGAGCCGCTTCAGAGGCTGAACTCAACCTGAAACACGAACAGAACCGAAAACAAGCGATCCACCGGAGCAGCGGGACAGTTAGCACACCGGCTAATGCTAACGCTAGCTGAGGACAAACACGTGTAGAATCAGAACCAGCGCAGCGACACCAAACAGCTGTTTGGGTTCATGAACCTGGACCTCAGGGGTCCGGAGATGGTCGGAGGACGGATTAGACTGTCAGTGTACGGAACCTCCGGTGTCTGGATGTAGCCGTTAGCTGCTGTTAGCT